ATGGTAACTGACCTTCCCTTCTAAAGCTTCAACTGTTGCAATGGCCTTGGCTGACAGTACACGTGGCAGACTCTTAGCCTAGAAAACAGAAAGTCAGAAACATCAACATAAAATAGTAAAATTATTCAAAGTGCGTCACTGTATCTGTAACAGAAGAATAATGAAAAATTATTTACCAGAGCACTTCTATCTCCAGGGCTAAGTGAAATGGACTCGAGATTTTGAGGGTCAACTGGAACTCCATTTTTCAGTTTATTGTGCATATCCTGAGTAGACATTGAAGGGGAAGGGGGAAGGGGATTTTGAGGTCACAAAGAGCAATGCAAGAAAACCAATAAAAGTAGTTAACATGTCTTACCAGGTTAAGCAATAGTGTATCAATCATTGAGGTTCCTGTGGTTCGCAATAGATGTTTGTGTAGAAGAACCTATGCACCAAAGAGAAGCCATAATAAATTCTATGCGTATGAAAAACCGTTGAAACTACTAAGTTATAGATCTGAATAAACTTACCGAAGTTGTTGGGTCATCTTCAAACAAATCAAGGGCTTTTTCATAAAGCTGCATGTTTAAAAATGACTGCAACAAAAAAATAGAAATCAAATCAAAATCACAGTATAGCACATGGCTGCTCCAGACAAAACGAAAATAAATAATCATGTATGCAGCTGAGAAAAGACTAACAAAGGAAACAAAAGCTCGTCTACGTCGTCATTGGTAGAATGAAGAATGGCGGTACGCAGGATTCTGCGAAAGCACTGTTGGCATATTGTCACAATACGGCTTGCAAGCAGTGTTTTAAAAGGCGTGGGCGTAAGGCGAGGTGTTTTACATATGCCTCAGTGAGGCGTAAGCCCGAGGCACGGGGCGTAAGCCCCATATGTATTTAATTTTTAATATTTTATAAAATAATATAGTGGACGTTAGTATTATGTTAAAGAGGAGGAAAAGGTCTACTCAAGGAAGACCGAGAATCAGGTGGGGATCCCACCTTAACTAAGGATAAAGCCCAAGAGTTGGAGGGGCGGTTGTCGGCTATGGGAGCTTGGAGGAGCAGTGGTGACGCGAGCACTATGTGGTCAGCGACAGCAGACTGTATTAGGGAGGCTGTGAGAGAGGTGTTAGGGGTCTCGACGGGCGTCTCTGGTGGGCACAAAGGAGACTGGTGGTGGAATGAAGTGGTCCAAGGTAAAGTGGAAGCAAAGAAGGCGGCGTACCTGAAGTTAGTGGGGAGCATAGGTGAGGAGGAGAGGCGAGTGTGCATGGATAGGTATAAGGCAGCTAGGAAGGAGGCTAAGCTGGCGGTCACAGAGGCTAAGACTGCGGCTTATGGTCGTATGTACGAGGAATTAGGGAAAAAAGGTGGGGAGAAGAAGTTATTCCGGCTGGCCAAGTTGAGAGAGAGGAAGGCTCGGGATTTGGACCAAGTGAGATGCATCAAGGACAAAGATGGTAGAGTATTGATGGAAGATGCCCAGATTAAGAGGAGATGACAGACTTACTTTCATAAACTTCTGAATGAAGAAGGGGATCGGGATATTGTGCTAGGCGAATTGGAGCATTCCGAGAGTCACCGTGACTTTGGGTACTGCAGGCGTATCGAGGTTGAGGAGGTCGTGGGAGCTATGCGTAAGATGAATAGGGGCAGAGCGACCGGGCCAGACGAGATTCCGGTGGAATTTTAGAAGTGTGTGGGGAGAGGAGTGGTTGACTAGGTTGTTTAATGTTATTTTTAAGGCGAAAAGAATGTCGGATGAGTGGAGGTGGAGTACGGTGGTTCCATTGTATAAGAACAAATGTGATATCCAGAGTTGTAATAATTATAGGGGTATCAAATTACTGAGTCATGCTATGAAAGTGTAGGAGAGGGTGGTTGAAGCGAGGGTGAGGATGGCAGTGTCTGTATCCGACAACCATTTCGGGTTCATGCCGGATTGTTCGACTACAGGAGCTTTACACATTGTTAGAAGGATGGTGGAACTGTACAGAGAGAGGAAGAAGGATCTGCACATGGTGTTTATTGACCTAGAGAAAGCATATGACAAGGTTCCTAGAGAAGTTCTATGGAGATGCCTGCAGGCAAAAGGTGTGTCAGTTCCCTACATTATGGCGATTAAGAACATGTATGATGGGGCTAAGACTTGGGTTAGGACAGTAGGAGGCGACTCTGAGCATTTTCCGGTTGTAATGGGGTTACACCAAGGTTCTGCGCTCAGTCCGTTCTTATTCGCCCTGGTGATGGACGCGTTAACACACCATATTCAAGGGGA